AAAAAAAAAAAAAAAAGTTTAGATTTGGAGGTGAGATGGGTTAAGGGAGTTGTTAGGTTGGAGATAGAGCCGTTATGGTGAGATGCGGGGGAGGGCAGCACTTAGTCGATGGTCCCGATTTTCTAGCCTCCCCGGGGTTGAGTTGGGAGCGTGAAGGATTAGGATCAGTTTGGTGCTGGGGGTGGGGTGGGTTACAACTTGGAAAGGGAAGTGGGTTGGGTAGGCTCCCAGGGTTAGGGTGCTCCCCAGAGCTCGCCCGCCGCCAGAGCCCAGGTCCCCCAATGGACAGCCAGATGATACCTGCTGCTTCAGCTCCCGATTGCGACGCCGCAGGGACTGGAGGGGATCGCGCTGCCGCCTCGCCAGCATCTCCTTCGCCTCGGCGCGGAGCTCACGCCGGTCGCCAGGGAAACCAAGACGGCGGCACCGGAAGGTGACGCCATCACCGCTCGCCCGCCTCGCAGCCCGACTGCCTGGTGCGGGAAGAGTGTGGGGACGATTCTCCCTCGAGGAAGCCGCTCCGCCAGCCCGCAGGTCCTGAGCTCACTGCCCAGCTACTCACCTTTTTCTCGCCAGTCCCAAGGGATTGGGGAGGAGCTGAGGGAGAATGCCCCGCGGCGTCCGAAACTACAAGTCCCATAATACTCAGTACTACCACGACATTGCTCGTGGGGTACTTGGTGTTTTGGCACTTGTTTTCTGACACCGGTTTTTCTAAACTAATCTTAAGATACAATTTAAGCATCTCACTCTCTTAAATTAACTGAAAGCATTGCTTTCCTATATGGCCTTAATGGGATACGTGGTTCTGGCGCATACCCTCACTTCAAAAAGGCAGTTTTAAATTCTTTGCCACTTGGGATACTGCTTAAGTATCACTTCATTGTAGTTTTGCACATTGTCCATCCTTAGTTTTGGGAGGATGGTGACTCCGTTCTACAGCAATTTTGTGAGCACCTAATTATGAGCTCCATTTTACATCTTTCAGGGAGCTTGCAATAATATTTCCCCAAGTGGGACTCAGTCCTATAAATCCAATTCCCAAACTCTTTACCACTACACTGAATAAGAATGACGACCTGAGCTCACTTTTCAAAAGATGAACCACACTGATGTGTTCTTCAGTACAACACACAAGGTTATTCCACAGGCCCAACTGCCATGCTATTTGCAATACTTTTTTCTTCAATAGAGAGTAGTGAAAAGCGCCCACCGAACTGAATTTTCAGGGTGAACACACCCCCATGCAAGTAACATAACCCAGATTTGGATACAGAATGTGACCAGCACCCTAGTAGTCTTCCCCTCCTTCTAGTCCCTGCCCACCTCCACCCCCTACACCAAAAGTAAACACTATCCCAATCTCTAACTGTAAAAATCTGTCGTGCCTCTTTTTGAACTGAATAATGGAATCACACAGTGTACTGGCATCTTGTCAGGCTTCTTTCATTCAACCTGTTTGTGCAATGAATCTATATCATCGTGTGGGTTGTAGTTTGTTCATTCTCATTGCTCTCTGATGTTTCATTGTATGACATACTCTAATATACTCATCCATTCTACTCTTTTTCGTATCTCATGTCTTTACTTTGAATTAATTTCTCCATCATGGCTCATGATACTTAAAAGTTCACTTAAACAGCCATAGTTTTTCCATTGAAAATCTAACAACAAATGAGGAAGCAGTAAGTACTATAAAGTATTTTTAGATGGATTAATAAATCGGTACTTCTAAGTGATCTTGTTAGAGGTAAGCAAAAAAAAAAAAAAAACTGCACTAAAGACAACCCGTCATTTATGAAATCCTTATTTATTTTACATGTCTATAAAAAATTTTTTTTAAAAATCTACCTACTTTATAGGGATTTCCATATTTTAAATGGAAAAGTTACAGGGTCATGAAGATGGTAAAATTCTATATTGGTAAAAATGAACAAAATAAACCCCCTACACGTGTATACATGTATGAGGAAGGGTGCAAAAAAGGTTTATTCCTCTTGTTCATCTCGGGTGGAAAGATGCTTTGATTTTATACATTTTTGTACACTATTCAGCATGAGAAGCGTTTATTCCTTGATTCCTGCATCAGTATCATCAATATCACCTGGGTGACTGTTAGAAATGCATATTCTCAGGCCTCACCATAGACCCACAGGATCAGAATCTAAACTTTAACAATACCCCAGTGTTTCATGTGCACCTTCAAGTTTGAGAAATACCGCTTAGGTATTCACCACGCTGTAAGGAGTGAGATTACTCAGCTAGCTGCCTTCTTTTTCATTAACTTACATTTCTTTTGACTTGTAATGCTCAGTATAGTTGCTTTAGCACTAGTCTCTGCTTCTGTTGTCATCCCTTGATGCCATTACGAAAATCAGAGTAACCTACAAGACCATTTTGAAGTGAGGTAGCCCAAACTAAAGCAAACCATGGCCATTGTCTCTCCCGAGAACAAGCTATTTCATAAAACTCGTTATGATTTTCTTCCATCAGTGTGTTACAATGTATATCAACTTTGTGTTACAATGTATATCAACTTTGTACCGCTGCCTCACAGGAGATACTGAAAAAGAATTTAACAGCTTCCAGGGACTCATAGCATAGAACTAGTGGTTAACATGGAAAATGTAACATCTCCATGTAAGCCAATAGTTTCAGGGAAAAAACCAAACACATTTAATTAGGGCAAGGGGTAGACAGCTAGAGGAGAAATAGTGAGAGGCAATGTCGGGGGGAATTGTCCACCACAGGGCTGGGAACACATGGGCACAGCGTAAAGAGGCAGTAGGCAGAAAATGAGGGGCAGACTGAGTGGTGTAGGGTGGCTGAAAACCGCGTAAGGACTAAACAGGCCTCGGGGGTCAACAGCACAGGCGCAGAGGGGCAGGATGACAGAACACTGGGGTGAGACAGGAGAGGGTGACGAGTGTGTCCGGGTGCTGCACGTAAGTAATGGGAAAGGAGTCACATTGGAAAGACCAGGACCACCAGGAACGTGGCACAAGAACAGGCCCATACAGGCAGAACTGGTCATAACCTAGATGCTTAGCCAGGCACATACCAACAGTCTGGAGGCACCGTGGATGTGCCATAAGAAACCTACCTTGTCTCAAAAAGCCTCAACTCTTTGACCCTCAGTGATGAATGGTGACTCAGATACTTCAGCCACCTGCAACCCAGAGAGAATGGAGCTCTAAGAACCAACATTTCAGTCCTTAAGTACTGCATTCACAGAATGCAAATAAAGTTGGAAGTAATAAAGCATAATGGCCCTCCTAAAATAGAAAAAAAAAAAAAAAGCTCTCTGGAAACAACTTTCCTGAATTTTCTTATGTTAATACGGAGCTGATCCTAAATTTACTGAGAAACAAAATTAATCTTTATAGGAATGAGCAAGGGCAGTGTTCTAGAAAACACCTCTGGAAAATCAAAAATAACCTGGGACTTGGTCACTCACTCTTGATTTTCAGACACAGTTATCCCTCGGTATCATCGGAGGATATCATCCTGGAACCCCAGGAGCTGCCATGGATACCAAAATCCAAGGATGCTCAAGTGCCATAGTTGGCCCTTCCTATCCATGTTTCCGCAGGCGCAGACTCAACCAGCCATGGATAGTAAGTGGACAGTGGTCCACTTACATATAGATTTATTGAAAAAAATCTACATGTAAGTGAACCTGTGCAATTCAAACTCACGTTCAAGGGTCAACTGTAGTAGGGATTTATCACTAAGGTCTATTCAATGAGGTTTCTCCTTCACATGTATACTCCATAATGACACAAATGAAATTTTTGTCAGTAAAAACTTACACTACGTGCTTGGAGTATGTTGTCAGCCTCAGATGTGTAAAAGTCTTACATACATTACCCTTACCTCAGTTATTTTTACATAGCCATTTGCTTTCCAGAATAGGTCCAGCAAAACTGCTAACCAAAGGGAATCATAATGGTTCCTAGATCAACTTTGCTTTGCAGTTGCACCAAGGAACTAGCATAGATTCTTTAGAAAACAAGATATCTGACCAAAAACAGTAATTATAAGTTTTGAGGATCAAATCTCTTAATTCAGTAAGCTGCATGGGAGGCAAGATACTCCTTTTCCTTTTAATAAAAGGTTCAAATATGTTTAATTTTTTAATTTTAAAAATAAAATTGATTCATAAAGTGCAAGGAGAAACTATTTCTGTCCAGTTCTCTATATCCATCTTCAACAAGCTGTTGGAAACAGAAAAGAGAAATAAAAATTAGAAATACATAGTGGTTAACTTCAAATTATTCTATTGTTTAGTTAAACCATGAACAACAAGATCTGGTGTTACAGATAAGAAAACTGAGACCCTGTAAATTTGCAGAGCTCTGATGAAAAAGCCAGGGCTAGACTCAAGGCTCCTGACTTTCAAGCCATTGCCAGCCTGCGCAAGGACCTAAGAATTTAGACTGGAGATGACAAAACATGAATGCACAGATGTACTACGGTGCTACCAAGGATATTTTAAAAAATAAATTGATGTGGGGAAGGGTGTGGTAGGAACACTTCCGCGGTCCTTTTTTTCATTTTCTATTCTTTCCAGTATTTTCCATTTTGAAGTTTAATGTTGCCGAAGTGCAACGACTTTGCACGCGGTTAAGACAGTCCCGTTACACACACGCAGTGAACTGAACTACGACACCAAAATGTAAGTTATTAGGGAAAACAGAACTTCCTCCTCTCTCTGGTGCCTGGGGGGCTCTCCAAAGACCCTCCTGTCCCAAGATATCCGGCTGTCCCCGAAGTCTCCCCTTAGAGCGCCGCTGTAAGTACTGCTCACCGACTCCGGCAAGAGCCCGGCACTGCGGGCGGAGAGAGTGAGGCAAGCCTGGCTTCGGCTGGAGCCCCGCGCCGGAGAGGCGAGGTGGCCTCGAGGTGGCCGCGCGGTGGCCGGCGGGGATAGACAGCGCGGGGATCTCAGGCCAGGTCCAGCTTCTTCTGCGTCGCCGCCAGCTTGTCTTGCAGCCTCTTCTTTCTCCAGTCCAGGTAGCGCCGCCGCAACCGGTGTGCCTGCCAGCCCACGAGCACTCCGGAGGCGAAGGCCACCAGCACGGACAGCTGCAAGGTCCTCTCGGACACGTTCGCCATCGCGGCTCCCAGGCTTGCAGCGCGGCCTACGGTGCGGCGGCCGGGTCAAAAGGCGCAGCGCGTTTCGGGGCGGGGCGCGGGCCGTGAGTGCCAGGCGCGCCCTGCCGCGCAGCTCTTGCAATTTAAAGATTCATCGATCTCGCCTGCTGATGAAGACTTGCCCCGCCCTTGGATAGCCCCACAGTTACCTCCTCTGAACCCCTACCATACTTATTGTTTGGCATTCATCAGATGTTGCCCTGATTTATTAT